ATAGGTTTAGTCTCTCAGCAATTCTGTTCCTTATATACTCATGCACGGAACATACCAGGAGAATATTTTAAAATTCTTGTAGAAGTATACTCATACTTAGAAAGAAAATCAACCCAAATGTACATCAATAATAAAATCCTCTTGTCTTAGAATAAAATACTATCCACTTTTGCACTGTTTGGCAGTAGGATGTGTCCTGAGAAATGCATTGTGGAATGATTTAGCATTCTGTGAACGTTATAAAGTGGACTTGCATAAGCCTCGCTGGCATAGCCCACTCTACACCTCGGCTGTATGGTAGAGAGAACAGTTTCTTGTATCGGGACCACTCCTGTCTCTGCAACCTGCCTTTGACCAAAGGTCTTTAAGTGGCACACAGAAGTCCACCGATAAAAAGGAGGCATTCATAGAAACATAAGACATTATAAATATTCTTTGTATGGAGAAAATTCAAGTAGCAGAAGAATTAAAATTCCATCTGCAACAATTTTTAAATCTGTAAAATTCACTAATATTAGTAGAACTGCACTGTCCTCCCTTTGTTCATCAGTTTGCTCGAGCGGGCACCAGTAATGTCTCCATTGTGAGACCTGTTGTTACTGTTTTTGGCATATCGAATACATCAAGAGTAGCTTGCCAGGCTCTGCCATGCGGGTGAGATACTCTTGGTAGCTCGCCGGGCTCTCCAAGAGGGGTGGAGGAATCAAACCTGGGTAGGCCGCATGCAAGGCAAATGCCCTACTGGCTGTGCTATCGCTCCGACCTCACTAATATTAATAAAAATAGTAATTTTTCATCATGGAAACTGCCAAGTATAGAGACAAAATCACGAACTCTCATGCACACATCATGATTATGAACAATCATGGTGAACATGTTTCTTTCAGATCCTCCTTTCTTCCCACCTTGAACTATTTTAACATCATTATAGGATTTTGTGTCATTTCACCTGTAAATGTTTAAGTACCAGTATTGTTTAGAGACATAAAGGATATATTGTAAAATAACCCAGAAAAGTTGTTAATAAATATTCACTAAAAATAAAAACCCAAAGCTTTGAGCCAGTGGTTATTTCTGGTAGGCTGGAATAGGATCGAGAAGATATAAAACAAAAATAATGGTAATGTTGGGGCCGGTAAGATAGTACAGTGGGTAAGGCACTTGCCCTTGCATGAGACCGACCCAGGTTAGATATCTGGCATCCCATGTGGTCACATAAGCACTGCTAGGAGTAATTCCTGAGTGCAGAGCCAAGAGTACCCCTGAGTATCGCTGGATATGGCCTAAACCAAACCAAACCAAACCAAACCAAAATAATGATGACGCAAGCACACAGATATTTGTGCTATTGTTCTTATACCATATATATGCACATTTATAAACTTCTTCAGCATCTTTTCAAAATGTGCTTTAAAAACAGTTCAGCCAAAGGTGGTTGGAAATGATCACGTTGGATAAAAACTGAGTGCTGAGAGTTGGTAAAGGGAAAAATCTGATAACCTTTCAATACCTGTATTGCAAACCATAATGCCCTAAAGGAAAGAGAGAGAAAGAGAATGAAAGAGAGAGAGAAAGAAGAAAACTGCCTGTCATAGAGACATGCTGTAGAGAATGGGGCAGGAGGGAAACTGGGGATAGAAAATGAACACTGTTGAAGGGATGGATGATGGAACGTTGTATGACTGAAATTCTATCATGAACAACTTTGTAACTGTATCTCATGATTATTTTAAAAAATCCATAACACCAACCCCTTCCCCCCCAAAAAAAAACAGTTCAGAAAATTCAGCCTGTGACCTTTGTTTACCTTCATAGTATATATGAAAAGGCTGAAATCTTATTTTTTACTTATTTTGGGGAGCCACACCTAGCTGTGTGGCTGACACTGAGCTCTGCACTCAACAATCATTTCTGGTGAGGCTTGGGGACCACAGTGGGTACCAGAGATTGAACACAGGTCTGTTTTGTACAAAGCAATGTCCTGCCCACACACGATCTCTTTGGCCCAAGGTTGGTAGGAAGCCAGAGAGAGCTAGTTTGAGACTTAAAGCACTTGCCTTGGCACAGAACATGGGATAACCCTTGAGATCCACTGGGTGTGGCCCAAAAACCCAAACAAAGCCAAACAAAATAGGTTGGTAGGGTTGGCAGGCAAGTCAGGCAAGCTTTTGTCAAACTCCTTAGTGAGAGTGATTTGTACTTCTGGAATTTTGTGAGGACAGGAGGTTTGTGCCCAAATCTTTTCTCAAAACATTTTTGAAAGTGGTATAGAGATAGGTAGTATTTGAGTTAAGGTACTTGCTTTGCATTCCGCTGATCCTGGGTCAAATCCCCTAAGCCATAAACCCTCCCTGCATACTGCCAGGGCCCACTCCGGAGCACAAAGTTGTGATTAGCCCAGATACCCACTCGGTGCGATCTCCAGAAAAGCAATGGGGACATTACCAGTCTCAGGGGTCACTGTGGCTACAGCCAGTAGTGTTCAGGGCGGGGCTCTGAGTATTGGGTATTGAACTCAGGGCCTCTAGCATGCAAATGACCTCCAGTGCTTTGGGTGAATTCTCTTTGCTTCCCGGCCTATCCTTACCAAAAGAAATTCTTTAAAGTGAGATGCTATTTGGCATTAAGCAAGAGGGAAGAACAAGGATAAAGGATTTTGGGGGGAAGTAGCCTACATTTTCCATTGTTCCCGAGGTAAAAATGTGGATTTTTCTATGTGCCAAGTGGACACCACTAAAATCAACCCATTTTTCTCATCTCAAAAGAGATCACACATCAGGGACCTACCTACAAGAATGAGCTGAGTCTAAGAGTCTCCAAGGGTCATTCTGTTGGAGTCAAGACTAAGGAACAGGTTCTTAAATGAAGAGTACAACACCTAGGTGAAGGAACAGAGCTGAAACAGGGTCCCTCTGGGTTCAGATGTCTTTGAAGAAACTTCAAAAGGACCTTATCACAGAAACATACTAAATTTGGGGGGCAGGGGGGAAAAGCTCACAGGGCTGGAGTTCATTCTTTGCTTGCAAGAGCCCTGAGTTTGATCCCTGGCCCCACAGGGTCCCCAGGCAATGAGCCATGAATGGGTCCCAAACCAACCAACCAAACAATAAAAGCAGAACCGGTTAAAAGACAATTGTCCGACCTTACCCCTAGAGATCCAGATACAGCAAGTCCATGATGGAAACTACGAATTTGCAGTCACTGATGTCCCAGATGGTGCAGACACTCTGTCCTAGTAGTCTCTCAAACCCAAACCATCTGCTCTTAAACCATCTCCTTCTCTCTGAGAATGGTGCTGTCATTTCCTTCACTTCTTTAAACTCAGCAAATGCCTTGGGGCCTCCAGCCTTCAGGTTTGCTTTTCCCTCACACTTTCCCCTCCCCTCCCACCCTCACCCCACTTTACCTGGTCATCTTTTACGTGTCAGCTGAAATATCACTTTATGGGATATTCAGTTTAGTTGTAAAACTTTTATACTTGGTACATCTTGGGTGGGCTGGAGCGATAGCACAGCGGTAGGGCGTTTGCCTTGCACGCAGCCAACATGACCGACCCGAGTTCGATTCCTCCGCCCCTCTCAGAGAGCCCGGCAAGCTACCGAGAGTATTCGATATGCCAGACACAGTAACAACAAAGTCTCCAATGGAGATGTTACTGGGCCCGCTCGAGCAAATCGAGTAACAACAAAGTCTCACACTGTAGATGTTACTGGTCCCGCTCGAGCAAATTGATGAATAATGGGAGGACAGTGCTACGGTGCAGTGCTATGATTTAGGTATCAGACTACTTTTTTCCACTCTATATATCAGGGCTGGAGCGATAGCACAGCGGGTAGGGCGTTCGCCTTACAAGCGGCCAACATGGCCGACCCGAGTTCGATTCCTCCGCCCCTCTCGGAGAGCCCGGCAAGCTACCGAGAGTATTTGATATGCCAGACACAGTAACAACAAAGTCTCCAATGGAGACGTTACTGGGCCCGCTCGGGCAAATCGACGATCAACGGGAGGGCCTTTACCTTTACCTTTTTTATAAAATATAAATGTGAATTATTTCTTAGCAAATTTTAGCATCTAAAGTTGAGATGTAATGTGAGTATAGAAATCACAGTAGATTTTGAAGTTCTAGTCTTTAACCCTATAGTTTAAAAAATAGTGTAAAATATTTGTCACTGTCACTGTCACTGTCCTCCCGTTGTTCATCGATTTTCTTGAGCGGGCCCAGTAACGTCTCCATCATGAGACTTTGTTGTTACTGTTGTAACTTTATATATATTATCTGTTGAAATAATAATGCATTTAAGTATATTAGCTAAATATTATGCATTATAATTTATTTCCCCCAATATTCACTGAGTATGTGGGAGGTAGGGAGTGGGGGTCACACCTGGTGATGTTTGGGGATTACTCCTGGCTCTTTGCACCATTCCTGATGCTGTGGGGAACCGTATGTGATGCTGAGGGTCAAACCAGGGTTGGTCACCAGGCAGCTGGTAGACACACCACGCGGGGACGTCTTGCAAGACAAGCACCTTACCTCCTGTTATCTCTCCACCATCTTCACTCAGTAGTCTTTTAAAATGGGGCTACTAGAAAATTTTAAATTGCATTTATGGCTAATAGCATATTTCCATTGCCCAGTATTGCTTTAAATCTGTGTTTCTCAAACTTGTGTGGCTGTAATCCCCTCTGACTTTATTTCCTGCCTGTGACCACCCCCTCCCCACTGCCTCCTACCCCCCAGCCCAACTGGCTCTACAAGTTGATGCCCTAGGTTCCTGCAGTGGCCTTCTATTTTGGCAATTTTCACTCCTGATCTCTTTGGAATATCCTGGGAATCCACCTGGGGCCATGTACCACAAGAAATTAAGAAATAATACCTTAAATTTGTTTTTCTCAAAGAAAATGTGTAATCATCGAAACTACATACTTAAAAGATAAACCTAGGAGGACCGTGGCAGGTAGGAGGCAGTTATCAAATTTTACTTTGGAGTCATTTTTACCTTACTTGAGGTGGCGGAATTCCTACCACTATGCAGTCCAGCTGTACTCTGCTTCCTTCTGGAACTTCTCTGCTCCGTAACTTTTGTGTAAATCGGGGAGGTTGCCCTAAAGGTTCTTCATAGTACAGAGATGAAGGTGAAGACCCTGGTGTGGTGTCCCCACCGGCTGCCTCACTGGCAGCCTGCTCAGCTTCACGCCTCCTGGCTTCCCTCTGCTCAAGGGCGTGATTTACTTCATTATCCCTGGTATCTGTAGGGATAGCGATGGGAACAGAAGATCGTTCTCGCCTTTCGGACAGAGCTGAGAAACTGGAGCTGTTTTCCTGCATACCTTTGTTTTGAGATTCCAGTTTACTCTTGTGGTTTTTGCAGGCCCGAGGTCTAATCCTCTTGGAGCTGTGGGCTTTGAAGAGGGAGGAGAGCTCTTCGATGAAATCGGCAGCCTTGTTTAAGAATACTTTTTTGGACTGACTTTCAGAACTATACTGTGGCTTCTTCGCCTCTGGGTGGCTCTCTCTAGAGTCAGCAGGGCTGCGAGGGCTGTCCTGGCAGAAGTTAGGCTCAAAGCTTGGTTTCGATGAGTGTTTCATCTGATCAGAAAGACGTTTTCGGGCTGAAGCTTCATCTGCTCTCTCCAAAGGGTCATGATTGATAGCCAGTCTCGCCAGATTGACACTTTCATCTAACTCTTCTTGGCTCAAAAAGGCTGAAAGATCAGGAAGGTCATCTTGGCCGCCTCCAGCTTCGGCAGCTCCTGAAGGACTCCCGAAATGGAAAGGATTGGAGGACGGTTCAGCCCGACTTCTCTCATTGTTCCCCCGATGTCTGGTTTCAGCTAAATAGCTCTCTCTTAGGAGCTGAGAGATGGACGTAGAAGTTTCTATGTTGTCGTCTTGCATACTGTGAACAAAGTGATACAAAGTTTGGATCATGTCCAGAGAATAAGTCTAGCTTATTATAGCAAATGAAAGCTCAAATTTTAAAAAGTTGCCTACTCTGGATATGTTTACGAACTTCAAAAGCTTACACATTATTCACAAATTGTAAACTAAAGAAGAAATGAAGGTGATTTCCCTGAAATTGAAGGGAACAACATGCATACTTATGATTTCATCCATTTCTTATGGGCGGTTTTAATTATCAAAACAATATACATCAATCTTTAAAATAAGTTTTTAAAAATGATTTTATTTTAAGAAAACGAATTTATTTTTATTTGAGGGACCTCACCCAGCAGTGCTCAGGATTTACTCCTGGCTCTGCACTCTGGTGGCACTCAGGGGACCATATGGGGTGCCGGGGATCCAACCCAGAGTCATCGACATGCAAGGCAAGCACACTACTGGCTGTACCATCCCTCTGGGCCCCCCAAAATAAATAAGTTTTAAAGGCTTAACAAATAGTACAATAATTGTACTTCAAAGCCCCCAGAACTAGAGATTTTAGTAATGAAATCAATTAGATGATTAATAGTATATCCATTATTCATTCACACACTTACTAGAAAGCAAGCTTGTAAGCAATAGATTGGTATTCATCTTTTAAAGTTGCTCTAATTAATCACATTTCTGTTACCCTTCACTTTCTCTACACTCTACTCCAAGCTACCACTGATCAGCAAGAGATTGTCAATGAAATAAAGGCTATTTCTATTTCTCGATTACTTTGTGTTGGCCTTGTGTTGGAAAGGTGGACAGGAAATTAATCACTTTTGGGGGAAAAGTGATTTTCTCTTAAGCCTCTTCTGGCTTTAAATGTGTACAACAAACTTATTTAAGTTTATTCCTCTTCTTCCCTTTAGAGTCTCACACATACCACATTCCAGTGAACTGACTGACTTCTCATACTTTTGAAGCGCTACACAAAATTATCTAATTTAGCCAAGTAGGCAGTCACCTTAAAAGGTGGCTAAAAGAATAACCCACTGTAAGCTGAGATTATCCCTTCTGGAGCCACTTGAGTGAAGTCTACTGTGACTTTAAAAAAAGATTAATTGAAAGGTGTTGGATGGGTACAAAGACTTATTTACAAAGTATTTCTCACAATATTAAACCATTGGAACCATGACCAATATAGGAAATCAGTTAATACCCACATATGCTTAGCTATGTGGATATTTAAAAATTTTGCAAAAATTAAATGAATTACAAAAGAGCATATGAAAATGTAATTAATACCTCAATTTAAACTTTTTTTTTTCATTTTGGGTCACACCCGGCGATGCTCGGGGGACCATATGGGATGCTGGGAATCGAACCTGTGTTGGCCATGTTGGCTGCATGCAAGGCAAACGCCCTACCCGCTGTGCTCCAGCCCCTAAACTTTTCTTACTTGTGTGTTAGCTATGTAGAACGGTTAAAGATATATGAAATAAGGTACAAAACCACACTCGAAAATGCTTTCCATTTGTAAACTATTTTATTAGGCTCTCTAAATTTCTATATATACTAAAATGTAAGGTAAGGTAAGGTAAAGGCCCTCCCGTTGATCGTCGATTTGCTCGAGCGGGCCCAGTAACGTCTCCATTGGAGACTTTGTTGTTACTGTGTCTGGCATATCGAATACTCTCGGTAGCTTGCCGGGCTCTCCGAGAGGGGCGGAGGAATCGAACTCGGGTCGGCCATGTTGGCCGCTTGTAAGGCGAACGCCCTACCCGCTGTGCTATCGCTCCAGCCCATACTAAAATGTGAGGGGGAAAATTGAATGCTTATAAATCAGAGTGATCTTCTATTAGTTGAGCATAACTGTATATTGTGTTTTAATGTAACCTGTAACTATTTTAAGACTGTTGCCACTTGAGGCAACATGGGATGAATTTTGTCTTTGGAAGCAGATAGATCTGGTTTCGATTTTTGGTTTCACCTCTTAGCAGTTACATGACTTTGAGAAAATTATTTGTCTTCCTTGAGTTTTGAATACCTCTTGTAAAACCTGGATAATATATATTTTCCGGGGCAGTTAGTATTACAACTACAAAACCCTGAGGGCTAGCCACTAGAATCAACTCATGTTAGTAAAAAAGAAAAAAAACTTAGGTAAAAATGTCATTAATGTTGATGAACTTTCAAAAGTTTATATTTATAATAGAATAGAAAAAATTTATAATAATCACTGCAACTATTTTTTCTTTTTAAAGAACAGTCAATTCAGATCTGAATGCGTGCCTGTTCTGATGCATAACATCGTGAGAAATTATTATCTTAACTATATTTGCAAGTATTCAAAATAAAGTAGGATTTATTACTGAATAGAGTGAGCTAGATTTTATTCGAATCCCATTTCGGACACGTTCTTTCTGTATAAACTAGAAAAAGTTATTCAACCTCTACAAATCTCAGTTTAATCATCAGTAAAATTAGGATAGTAACAGTAGCCATTTCATAAGTTGAGGTGAAGATGAAAAGTGTTTGGCATTTAGTAAACACTCAATAAGTGGCAGTAGCTACTATTATTATTATTTATGATGTTGTTGTTATTGTTATGTAACTATAGATACATACCATGGTAAGAAATAGACGTGGGGTACTGAAGAGATAGTTCAAAGGGCTGGAGCACATGCTTTTCCTGCAGGAGGCCCAGGTTCTACCAGGACTGTGTGGTCCCCCATGCACTGCTGGGAGTGACCCCCAGCAATGAGAAAGGAGGGGGCCCCAGCACATGGCCCCCCCAAAAAGAAAAAAAACAAGAAGGGAAAAAAAGAAGTAGATGCAGTAACTTGACATGATCCAAGGGCAAGTATTGAAGAGAGATTGAACTCAAATATTTGTAGTCAATTGATCATATCAATATTTTACTGGAATACTCGAAGTCTTGTGGGTACACTCGTTGCTTTTGGGTCTATGCATACAGTCTCTTTGCGCAAGTTGCTCCTGTCCCCAGATTCTCTCATTACCTTTCTGGTCTAAATCCTAAATGGTCTTCAGTCCCTAGCTGAGACATTACTTAAATTTCTTCTTTTCTTTGGGTTTGGCATTTCTCCAAAGTGTGCCCAAAGTTCTCAGTGTTTGCCTCCAAATACAGCACGTGCTATAAGAACACACTAAGCTTGCCAAGTTAGTCTTCTTTCTACCCCACTCTGTTCTGTCCAGCATCTTCACTGGACACACAGACCACATAGAAGGTGACTGGCCACATATCTTGACTATTTTGTTCCTTAGAATTTCCTGCTAAAGTTTCCCTTGCTTATCCATTCTTTTAAATTTTGAGGTAATGTAGGACAGACCGATAGATACCAAGTTTAGTAAAAACACAGACACAAAGAAAAAATATCAAGTGATAGAAGTTGTAGTAACTTTCAGGTACTTTATTTTTAATTTTTTTAGTTTTGGGGTCATGTCTGGTGGTGCTCAAGGTAAACGCCTGACCTTACCTGACCTGTTGTACTATTGTTCTGCCTTTTTTTTTTTTTGCTTTTTGGGTCACACCTGGCAATGCACAGGGGTTACTCCTGGTTCTGCACTCAGGTATCACCCCTCGCGGTGCTCAGGGGACCATACGGGATGCTGGAAATCGAACCTGGGTTGGCTGCATGCAAGGCAAATGCCCTTCCCGCTGTGCTATTGCTCCGGCCCCTATTCTGCCTTTTAAGGGAACATTAAAATGAACATTTATTCATATTAGATAAAATAAGTGGAATTAAACTTTCAGTTTTGGGGGGAGCAAGGAGGCACACCCAGCTCTGCTTAGGGCTTCTGGCTCTGTGCTTCCACCTGGTGGGCTCAGGAGACCATGTGGGGAGCAGCATACCTGGAAAAGCTCAGGGGCTATTCCTGACTCTGCACTCCAGAATTACTCCTGGCAGCGCCTGGGGAACCGTGTGGGATGTTGGGGTCTGAATTCAGGTCGATTGTAAGCAAGGCAAATGCCCTATTGACTGTACTATCTCTGTCTCCCAATTTGCTCAAGCAGGCCCAGTAGCGTCTCCATTTTGAGACTTGTTGTCACTGTGTTTGGTATATCGAATACATCACGGGGAGCTTGCCAGGCTTTTTCATGTGGGCAAGATACTCTCGGTAGCTTGCCGGGCTCTCCCAGAGGGGCGGAGGAATTGAACCCGGCTCAGCCAGGCTGGCTGCAAGCAAGGCAAACGCCCTACCGCTATGCTATCGCTCCAGCCCTCGCTCCTAATTAATACTCCTAAATTAAGCGAGATAAATGATAAATCATTTTCATTTATCAGTTAGCATAATAATAGTTCTATCTCAGATTATCCACATATGAAAAGAGTTAAACTGGAGAGTTCACCAAATAGGAAATAGAAGTATCATTTTTCCTTTCTAGAATGAATTTTTAAATGCTGTTTTAAAACACTGGTACTCTAAAAAACACCTCAAGTACTATTATAGATAACCTAGCTTTCATTTTTCCACCTAAGAACATTTAATGAGCATCTAATATGACCCAGGCACTGCTCAAAGCACTGTGGATCTAGCAGTAAACAAAATCCCAAGTCCCTGCCCTTAAGAAGCCAAGGCTATTCAGATGGGAAACAAACATATTAAGAAGAAAAGAAAGTAGGGCAATGGCTAGAGAATGACAGAGGATGAGAGCTCATGGCTTTACTGCTCATTTGTTTTTGTTTTGTTTTATTTAAACAAGGAAGGTCGGCAGTTTTCAAAGCAGTGGAGAAGCGAGCCTTAGGGTCATTTGAAGGTGGGGAGGAAGAATGTCAGGCCTAAGGAAGAAGTTGGTGTCATAGCCTGAGGAGATGAATGCTTCAGTATTTGAATCAGGTCCAGTGTGCCAGGAAGTGGGTGGAAAAAATGGAAGGAAAAGAAATCAGAAAAACAGAAGGCCAGATCGTGTAAAATCTTGTAGCCCATGGAAAGGACGAGGCATTTTATTAAATATGCAAGTGGGAAATCAATGTAGCCTTTTGAAGGCTGAGATGGACTCAATGC